TCGAGTTTTTACGAAGTGTATGGTGCCGGTATGCGCACACTTAAGAACTTGGGAAGTACAAATATACCCATATTTAGACAATTGGCTCATCGTTTCGCAATCCGAATGAGGTCTTCTGTCTGCTATACAAGTGACCTGCGCTCTACTCGACGCTCTTGGTCTGTGCATTAACCGCGAGAAATAGTCCCTTATTCCCACACAGGTCATCGAATTCATCAAGGCACGACTCGACTCGACACGGGAAAGAGCCTTCCTTCCACGAGAACGTCAAGATGCCTTATGCAACCACATTCATTGGATATGGCTGCACGGAACAGTCCCAGCCTTATCCATTCAGAGACTGCTTGGACACATGGCCGCTGCGATTGCCATTGTCCCGTATGCCAGACTGCGTATGCGGCCCATGCAACTGTTTTTCAACACCGCATTTCACCCGCAATGAGATCCTGCCACCAAGCTGATCCAGATTCCCTTTGCGATCCTTCGTACTCTAACTTGGTGGACCATCCCAGGCAACCTGTCTATCAGCGTCCCGTTTCGACCGCTTCAGCCAACAACAACCCTGTATACCGACGCATCCCTCCTTGGATGGGGTGCAACATGTTCGAGACTTCGGGTCCAAGGTACTTGGAACCGACAAGAACGAAGGAAGCACATCAACTTCCTCGAACTTCTAGCGATTTTCAACGCCCTCAAGGCATTCGAGACTGTGCTATGCAGTCAAGTTGTCCAGATTGCATCAGACAACATACCTGCTGTTTTCTATATCAACAAGCAGGGCGGCACGAAATCTCCAGCCTTAGCGCGCCTATCGATGGACATTTGGGACTGGTGCATACCGAGGAACATTATGCTCCTGGCGGTTCACCTGGCTGGAACCGACAACATCAAAGCAGATATGTTAAGCAGACAGATGTCAACAACCCACGAATGGGAGTTGGACAGACAAATTTGCGAGAAACTCTTCCATTTGTGGGGTTACCCAGACACGGACCTGTTCGCCACTCAGGGCAACAGAGTGTGTGCCCAGTATTGTTCCAGAGTGGGCATCGGATCGGGATTGATGGGGGACTTTTTATGCCTTTCCTCCAATCTCACTTCTAACAAAAGTGGTTGCGAAAATAGCCCAAGACAATGCCACAGGGATATTAGTAACTCTGTGGTGGCCGAGACAACCATGGTTTGCCACTCTCTTGCTACTATCCAGAAGAACGTTTCTTCGCCTACCAACTCTTCCTCATGTGTTATCACAGCAAGACAGAGCGATCCGACATCCGGATATAACCTCCCTCAAGTTGACAGCATGGCGGATCAACTGAGTCATTTCACTGAGTCGATACCGACACCACCTTGCTCTACGGAGGACCCAGTTCAGCAGTCTGTACATACGGCTCCTACCTCGGATTCAACAGCAATCGCTGCGGTACTGACGCCTACTGACCAAGAAATTCAGGCGATTCTCGAATCTGCATTGAGACAGTCCACTCGTCGTTCCTATGCAGCTAAATGGAAAAGATTCTCCTCGTTTGCAGAGTGCCATTCTTTTCTTCCTGGGAAGGCTTCAGTTGATAATATTCTGTAATTGCTCTTGCAACTGCATCACACGGGACTCAAACCATCATCCATCAAAGTTTATGCAGCTGCCATATCACATTATCGTGGCGCTATCCAAGGATCATCAGTTTTCTCTCAACCGCTGGTTCGACGCTTTATTAGGGGACTACAGAACTTACATCTGTGTATCCGTCCTGCTGTGCCAGCGTGGAGCCTTTCCGTAGTGCTCCAGGCACTTACCAAACCACCGTTCGAGCCTTTGGCAACTGTGGACTTACGCCTCGTGTTGTGGAAAACGGCCTTCCTCGTAGCAGTAACATCAGCTCGGAGAACTAGTGAAATTTGTGCTCTTTGCATAGACCTGCCCTTTCTGAATTTCCATAAGGAGAAAGTCGTTCTTCGGATGGATTTTTCCTTTCTTCCTAAAGTGACTACGCCGTTCCATCTGAGTCAAGACATTGTTTTGCCAGCATTCTTTCCATTGCCTTCGAACCTGAAAGAACGTGCTCTACACACGCTTGATGTTCTCTGTTGCTTGGCTTTTTACAGATCTCGCATGGAATCTTTCTGTAGTACTAATAGACTTTTCGTTAAGTACTCCGAGCGTGACAAGGGATCACCGATCACATCCCAAAGACTTTCTAATTGGATCGTCCAGACTATCGTCTTGGCTTACCAGCTATCGAAAATAGACATACCTGCTTTTCCAAGAGGTCACTCCACATGAGCAGTAGCGACTTCGTCTGCGTTTGCCGCAGGAGTTCCGCTACAAGATATCTGCAGAGCTGCGACGTGGGCTGGTCCATGTACCTTCGCCAAGCATTATCGGCTTGATGTACGTGCCAGACAAGACTGCTCTTTCGGCAGAGCTGTTCTTTCATCCGTTCTTTGCTGACGACACCTCCCTCCTCCAAGTTTGGTAAGCTTGCGAATCACCCATATGTGTGATGCACAGAGGCCACGACGAAGAAAAGCAGGTTGCTTACCTGTAACTGATGTTCTTCGAGTTGCCATCTGTGCATTCACAGAACCCACCTGCCGGCCCCCCTCGGTGTTAGTGAGTGGATATTTCTTTCTCTCAGTACCGTACTATAACTTCATCGGTACCGTTGCGATACAATGATGTTTGTCATTCATTTTATTCTCAACCTCTAGAGGGCGAACGTTCGGTCTTCAAGACTGAATAAAATGGCGGACACTCCGCTCTTTTTATACCACCGAGGGGGAGGGGAGCGGAGTTTTTCCCACCAAAAACCGTTAGCTTTCTAATCTTCCAGCCTAGGCACTGCGCAGTCGCAGCACCCATATGTGTGACTGCACAGATGGCCACTCAAAGAACATCAGTTACAGGTAAGTAACCTGCTTTAACAAGGACTATAGCCAAAATCTGACAAGATGACACTCACTGTATCCTCATCACGCCTTGCTGGCCCCGTCAGTCATGGTTCTCCGCTCTCTTCCAATTTTCACACAACAAATTTCTTCACCTACCTTGAAATCCTCACCTTCTCACTCAAGAGCACGGTGCCATACAACATCCCGACCTACATTCTCGGTATCTCACTGTCTGGCTCGTTCATTGGCTCTTTCTTCTACATCGATACTGACACTTTCTTTGGATTTGATACATGCACCCCCATCAGGATCGATGCCTGCTTCTTCTACAAATGTATCTACTGCACTAGAGCTTTCCAATCCAATACTGCCTTCAGTATTGACATAGGTACTGATGTCTTCCTCAGACATGACCAGCTTTCATCCTGATATACAGTTTATTCTCCAATCTGCACCTACCAACCACATGGCGCTCTTATACTGCCAAATGGAAGTGTTCCACCTCCTTTGCTGCTGCTAATCAGTTTTTACCTCAATCTGCTACCATCGAGAACATTCTACAATTTCTACTCTTGTTACACCATGGGGGTCTTAAACCTTCCTCCATTAAGGTGTATATTGCAGCCATCTTACATCATCGAGGATACATTGGAGGTTTGTCTGTTTCCTCCCATTACCTTGTGCATTGATTCCTATGAGGAGTACAAAACCTTTAGCCACTGACTTGATCGGTAGTTCCAACGTGGAGCCTCCCTGTCATCCTGCAAGCTCTCACAAAGCCTCCATTTGAACCACTGACCACAACAAATCTACGCCTTTTCACTTGGAAAACAGCCTTTTTTTAGTAGCGATTTCTTCGGCCAGAAAAGCCAGTGGACGGTGTGCCCTTCATGTCAACCCACCATACCTAAACTTCCACAAGGAGAATGTGGTTCTACATACCGATCCAACCTTCCTGCCCAAGGTTGTGACTCATTTCACCTTAACCAGGACATTGTGTTACCGGCTTATTTCCCTACTCTGTCGACATTGAAGCAGCGCTCCCTACATAGCCTGGATGTCCGGTGCTGTTTAGCCTTTATCAATCCGAACTGAGTCATTCAGGAAAACCAAACAGCTTTTCATCAAATACTTGGAACATGACAAGGGAGCTCCTATCAGTACTCAAAGGTTTTCAAAATGAATTGTTAAGATGATTGAACTGGCTTATCACCTTTCAAAACTGGACTTACCCATCACTCTGAAAGGACACTTCACTAGAGCTGTCACTGCTTCTTCTGCCCTCTGTGCGGGCATTCCCTTGCAAGATATCTGCAAAGTTGCCACATGGTCTACTCCGTGCACTTCCATGAAGCACTACCACTTGGACGTCCAGGCCAGACAGGACTGTTCCTTCGGCCGTGCTAACCTCTCCACAGTTCTCCAGTGATGACACTGTCCTGCCTCCGAGTGTGGTAAGCTTGTTAGTCACCCATACTGTGTGATGCACGGAGACCATGATGAAGAAAGGCAGGTTGCTTACCTGTAACTGTCGTTCTTTGAGTGGTCATCCATGCGTTCACACAACCCGCCCACCAGCCCCACTCGATGTTGGCGACTGGGTATATTATATCTCTACTTATACTATGTATATGTATGTATTTTTTTTCTCCCTTATGTGCCAGATTTGATACCAGCCAGCTCCACCTGGGGGTGAACAGATGGTCTTCAGCTGACTGGGAAAAGGGCGGGCACTCCAACCATTCATACTATGGGGGAGGAGGGCACAGAGTTCCCCCCAAAAACTGTTAATGCTAGTAAATCTTCCCGGCAACAGGCACTGCACAGGTGCAGCACCCAAAATGTGTGAATGCACGGATGACCACTTAAAGAACGACAGTTACAGGTATATAACCTGCCTTTATTCAAATTAATCTTCCAAAAAGCTATTACCTTGCAAGATTCTAATATTTGTTTCAGAAGGGGCAAAACTGTAGAACCTCCTGTAAAAACAGATTTAATAACTGACAATCTGGCAGCTTTCATAACTCTGGTTTATTTAGCTAGGCTGCTTCTTGCAGAAATTTAAAAAAAAAACCTGAAGTGAGTTTTCTTGTATTTTTCTGGTGTAGGTCAGAGATGATGAGTCAAATGAGTATATGAAGAGCTCACTCTTGGAATCTGATAGTGCTTTTATTAGTGAGTATTCAATGGTGCTTACTTGTTCATTATATACTTTTTCATTTGATAGACTGCTATTGTAAAATACCATTGATGCTAGCACTAAAGTGCATTTTCTGCCAAGTTTGTGTGTTGTTTGAGGGAAATAGCTATGGTAGAATAGTAGCAAGGGGGAGACTTTTATTAATCTTCAGCTATTTATGATACCTGGGTATCAGCAGATGTTCTGACTTGGAGTTCAAACATTTGGTGACACAGATTTCTATAAAGCTGTAAAGTAGTGAGTGCTCAGGAATTTGAGTGCTTTACCCAGAGTTTGGCTGCTGTGGAAGGGTGTTACTGGAGACTGATTGGTGCGTGTATGATATATGATTTATTTACACATATTTAATGATTGAACATAAGATGAAGGTTCTCAGCAATAATACCCAACACACTCTGCTCTCCAGTCAGCTTTCTGAGGAGCCCAGATGTTTCAGAGCTTCAAAGAAAGCCACCATGCTGACCCTTCTTCAGTTCCTCGGCTACATCTCTTGTCTGCCCTCAAAATTAAATTGCAGCTTCTTCACAGAAAAATAAGCATCATCTCTCACAGGGATGGAGGAAACATCAAGAAAGCTCTGATGTTCAAAAATATGCTTTCCTTCTGGAAGACTCTATTTGAAAAAAGCAGGGTATTGGATCACATTATCAGAGTCCTCAAGAATATCTCTAGCCTTTGAACCAAGAATCACAGGCTTTAAGGAATATTTAAAATACCATTTAGATTAATTCCACAAAATTACAATAACTATAATTACAGTAACTGTAATTTTGACTAAAAAGCTGTAAACCACTAGCCCAAACTAGAAGCAGGTAATGTGTTAGACAGGGGAGAGAATTAAAAATCAAGCATATTTAAAGTAGGGTGCTTATGTGGGCATGCCAGAGTGAAAGGTATGAACTAGGGTGAATGAGGCAAATATATGGTACAACAGACCTTTCTCATCTGTTTTGGGTCTCCATGCACCTGTCTTCATGGAGATATTATAGACATGAATCAATGCTATATTAGACCCACATCTCTGTAGTGCAGACATATGGACTCTGGCCTGTGGGTTGGAGATGGCCCACAGGGGTTCCATATCTAGATTACAGCCTACTATGTCTTCCCTTAGGCCCACCTACTCTCCTGTTAAGGAAAAGCTTTTTTTCAAAGCATCTGCTGGAGAGTAGTAAGGGTTTTTTGTTGTTGTGTAGCGGGGAAGCTGGTGAGGAAACTGCTGAGTGATTTAACATTTCTTCTGAGTTTTGTTCTGCTTATTCATGCGAAGACATGCTGAACATGCTTGCTTCTGAGTAGACATGCAGAGACTTGTCGTGCTTGTCTGAGCAAGGTTAAAATGGGTAAGAATCATGTTTTGGCGATGTACATCCTGACTTTGGCCATGGCTGCATGGCCATTGGTCATGCTCACAGAGGGAGTATGACATCTGAAACATTTTCTAGAACGGAAACTGGCCCTTAAAGGTAAATGTTCCCTACGTCTCCTATAAGGACTTCAGATCTTGAGACAAAAAAAAAAAAAACCCACAACACACACACACAAGGATTTAAAACAAGGTTTGCATTTCCTTATTTTAAGTTATGAATTAGTTTTAAAGGGAAGAACTGGGACACAGGAGGCCAGGGTTTTAGTGTCCACTCAGCCTTAAAGCGTACTGAGTAACTTTCGGCTAGTTACTGACTTTCAGTGTAATCTACCTCACAATGTTATGAAGATAAACTGGAGAAGGGTTGCTTTGGATTCCTTGCAAGAGGGAAAAAAGCTGAGATATAAATGCACCACATAATTAGTCCTGCAGTTATGTAAATGATATATGTATGAAATAGTTTTAGGTAAGACCTATTGTTATGGCATTCATTTAATCATAAGATGGAGCTGCCTGCCACTGCTGCTTTGCAACTTTCTATGTAAAAGTGGTTTAACTGCTTGCTTCAGTATTATAAAAGATACTTGGAGCAAAAAAGAAAACAAAATCTGAGCATATTGTCTTGGAGAGAGCTAAAAAGAGCTAAATACATGGAAAGCTCAAAAAGGTTAATCTGGAATTGGTGAGATCGTTCTGAAGGTTGTTTGCAATTCCCATCCCGTAAACTCTCTGTGGAGCTTAAAGTATATAACCTGTAGTATAGTTAATTTTGTTTACTTAAGTCTTGTTTAAAAACCTAGCCTTTGTTATTTTTTTCAAACATTCCTAGGTACTGATGGTGAAGCCTTTCCTACTTTAGAAGAAAACAACTTCAACATGGCTAGAACATCCCCTCCACCACCTGTATCTGCAAGGGAAAGGAGGCGAGAGAAGAAAAAGGTCTCCCCCCTTTAGTGAATTGCAACTGAGCCTAATTGAAATCAATGGCTGTTTTCACATGTAATGACAAGCCATGGCAGAAATGGCTTGTTATTATGTGTGAATTCAGCAAACATGGTGAAGTATGATCTGTTTGGTTGCTGTGAATCCCCACAGAGAACCAACAGTTTGTTTTAAGATTTTCATACTTCACCATTGCTGGTTGTTATGTGTGACTGCATTTACGATATGTTTCTACAGTTGCTCCGACAGCAAATTTGGCAGCAAGAGTGGTCACATTGGCTGTGCTTGTTCCAGCCGCCATTTTTGCTGCCCTGTTCTGCCTAGCAGCTGCTGAGTTGCCAGCAGCAGGGTGCTGATTGGTTGTCTCCTTGCTCCCTGTCTCCCTCCTGGCAAATGTTCCCTGATGCCTGGCCATGCCATCTTGCCATGTTGCTGGCCTTGCTGTGCTGCCTTCCACCCATTATCCCACTCCCACCCTATCCTCAGTAATCCAGGGAACTCCCCACAAGCCCTGCCACTCCCCTCAACAGCCTGCCAGTGGAATTTCCCAGGTGATGAGCATCCTTGGGAAAGTGTGCCTGGCAGGCCATGCTCCCACTGTCTTTGGCACCAGTGCCCATGCTGCAGCCCTTTGTTCACTGGGCTGAGGGGGGAAGGCAGCCTCAGCAGCATGTGCAAATGCAGCACATGGGGGTTGGGAGCATTGGGCACATGTGCAACAAAGGACCAGGGAGAGATGTGGGAGGGGGCATATTCCTCCATCAGCATGGAGTGTGGAGGCAGTGGTGGGTGCTGCTCTGTTGCTCCCACATAGCAGCCCTGCTACTCTAATTAATGGATGGTTTCTTGGTGCAGCAGCAGTGAGGAAAAGCAGCAGCTAGCTGAGACCATGCCCAGGGGAACATGAGGACCAGAGGAGGAGAGGCAGGAATAGTGCATGCTGAGATTGATTTTCAGCCATGGGGGCTGGTGGGAAACATGCTGCCACATTTGGAAGACGGAGGCATGTGGAAACTTCTCATGAGTACCACACAAACATGTGAACACAGGAACATAGGAGACAAGATGAGATACCATGCCACACAGTAACTACACACATCTTGGTTTAGCATTATGTGTGAACATAGCTAATGTGTTGTGACTAACATACCCCATTTTTTTCAGTGGGACAGAAGTATATGCTTTTTAGTTCATTTTTCAGTAGTAGAAGCACAACTACTATGTTATGAAAATGTTAGATATCAGCCATTCTGAAAAATCCAGTCATACTAGATCGAAATAACAAACCTTTATCTAGCTCAATTTATGGTATTTTACTGTGGGCATATTTGAATGCTGTGCTGACAAGATGCTCCGTTTTCTTGTTGCTCACTATCAGACTCTGGCCACCTTTACTGCATTTATTATTAGCATGGGGATGAAGGCCACTATAAAAATCAGCCTCAGTAGATATATATTTTAACTATTCAATGTTTCATCGTTCCTTAAATCTATAGGATGATGTCCCCCTTAGGGTGACTCCACCTCTACAATCAGATAACAGCTCTCTGTACTCAACTTCTAGTCTCAATATAGATCATCTGAAAGCCCTAAATGAAGAGCGACTGCAAAGACTAAATGAACTACAAAAGAAGGACAGCCATATAGGTATGGTTTGTTTACTAGAGATACAAACTGAGGTGATTGACAATCCAAGAATTCAACACATGTTCACAGAATGAAGTTGCACATAGGGTAGAAGAATGCAAAATGAGCAAACATTGCCTGCACAAGCTATGCTAGTTCTCAGAAAGATCCAAGCTGGCATATTGGTGTGGGGGTTTTTTGTGGTCTCTGTTCATTGCACACAAGGGTTCTGTATCTTCTTGGAGCATTCGAGAACTGAGTATTTTTGTGGAGATCTGCCCTTCTCCATCCATAGTGCATGCACTAAAAGAATGTGACTCTTACTCCTCCTGCTCAGATCGCAGCAGCAGCAGCTCCAGCTCAAAGCTTTCTTCTAGTTCACCAGTGAAAAACTAAGGTGAATTGTAGGGAGGTTTCCTGTTTGTTATTTTTATCCTTATTTGGACTTTTTGCTCTCTTTTTTGCACCTGTGCTGTTCTTTGCATACCTGTGCCTTCATGAATAGGGGTTGCATGACTTGTGGCCTTTAAGATTCCCTTCTGCAAATGGGGTTTTAGTCCCAACTCAGCTATGGAGGTCACTGGGTGACTTTGGGCCAGACACAGACTCTTGGTCCAATTTATCAAGAGTCACAGGTTGGTGGATGTTGTGAGGATAAGATTGAGAAAGGAGGAGAATTATGTAAGCCATCTTGAGTTCCTTGAAAGGAAAAAAAGACTGGGGGGTGGTTGTAAATATAATAAATGAAAAAATAAAATGCACCAGCTGTAGGAGTAAATTGTCCCACATGGACAGATAATCTCAGACTTCCAGGTACTTCAGCCCCTATTCTGTTCTCTATGCATTTGCCAGTTGATGATAATTATTCTGCCCCCTGCCTACTCTTGTTGAAAATTTCTGAAGCAGTTCACTTAATCTTCATCTCCAAGGTACTGGGCTGATGCCAGCTTTAAGCCTTCCATGGTTATTGGAGCATTCAGGTCCTTTGAGTGCCTTACAAATTACTTCCTCAGATGGCTAATATAGAAAATATCACTCTTGGTCCATAATACCTCCAGTCATCAAGCCAATAAGAGAAACTAATGACCTATCTTGATATTTCTTTCCTATCAAAACATCAGCACTGTTTCATGTTAACCAGAACATAATGTTTCCTGTATGTTTTTCAACTCCAACATTGTCCATAGAGATTTCGCAGTATTCTCTTGAAGTATTGTCAAATGCTGCCCCTTTTCACATGGTGCTGTCTGTTGTATCTTCCTCCAAATACAGGATCAACATTTATTCAAGACCAAGCAAGTTTGTTTGTTTATTTAGTCATTGAAAGCTTTTCTAACCCATCCACTACAGATGTCTCGGAACAGCATACAAAAAATGTTAAAACAACACATTACTACATCTGCATACCTACCACATCCTGCTTTCTGGCTTATATACCTCTTCCCAGAGAAACAGATCTCTTAAAGAGGCATATCTGAACACCACAGCATGACTTCTCATCTCTTAATGAGGAGATGTAGAAAGGACCACCCCATTTCTTTGAACTTATTCTGGTGACTCTCTGGGATCATTCCATAGGCACAAGGACCTCCTTTTCTACAGGGTATTCCCCTTCCTGATCTCTGCCCGGTTGCCACATAGTCATAGCTCATAGTCTCATATTCCACTATAAGTTGAACATTCATGTCAAACAGGATACTGTGTTCACATGAATAGTACTTTTGCCTGTGGTTTCATGAGGCACCTGTACTTCTCCAAGTAATGCTTTGTGTCAGTCACCCATGTGTTTGATGCAGAAAGATCACAAAGGAGAAGTTGCTTGATTGTAACTGCTTCTTTGAATGGTCCTTTGCTCTGTCATATAATCCAGCCTCCATCCCTGCTGCAGGTACCAGAATAACATCCATGGTTCTCATTTCTGCTGGAAATTTTTCTGAGACCATGGCATCAGTTGTCAGGAACTGAGTGGGAATAGTAGGAAAACCACAGTCTCAGTGTGCATACTGAAAGGGGTGGGAGTCCTTTCAAAATAAGCTAGGCTCAAAAACATTCCAAATAAGGGCTTGTACAGGTGCAGAACTCATATGTCTGAATGCACAATCATCTGCTTAAAGAACCAGTATTATAGGTAAGACACTGATTCTTCATAGCATAGCAAAAGAGTACTGTGTGCATTGTCATTTTCAACGACTGGGCGATACTGATGCTCCCTAGCAAAAACTAATTTCACTTCAATTGGTGGTCTTTGTAGCAATTTACACAATTTGGGACTGTAATACTTCATGAAGCACCTCTCTCAGCTGTAATCTACCTAGGTACTATGGTCAATGAATGGGGCTCCTCTGAGTGCCACTTTCAAGGGAGGTTCAGAGGGCAGCAACAGTGGTCAGGTCTTCCCTCTCCAACTATAGAATGGTCTCCCCACTGAGGCATGCCTGGCGCTAGCCTTGTCATCCATTTAACATCAGGTTAAGATGAACCTCTGCACAGCAGCATTTAAAGACATTCAAGATTATTTAAGGGCTTAAGACCTACTCATCCCAGATGTTTTACAGGTATACTGTCAATCGTATGCTGTTTTATCTGTTTGTAATTTATGGTTAAAATTTTGTATTTGAAGAATACTGTTTGGGAACTGTCAAGAGAGCTTTGGTTATTGGGTAGTACAGAAATGAAATGAATAAAAGGTTCAGGGAGGAACAATAACAGACCATGAGCTAGAATTTATTTATATGAACAAAATGCCATGGAAACTCAAAAAACATGACTTATCTCTTCTATGTATTTCTCCCTTTCTCATATTGCCTTTTTAAACTTAAGGACCTGTTCCAATCCATGTTTAGGCTTCCTGACTGCCAATTTTTTAAATTACTGCAATGACTGGGAAACAAGGATAGATTGTGAACTGGGATTGGGTATAAAATGAAATGAACAGCTTACTGCAGCTCCTTTGGGCAACATACTATTTATGGTGGCCTCTTTGGCTATGTGTGTTACTTTAGAGTGGCCACCAGCTGTGCTTATATCACAAATAGGTCCCCAGTTCCTCTTGCTGCTACAGATTGCCCTTGAGGCATTTGCACTGTAAGCTGGATACCCCAGCTTTTACAGGCCATCAAGTTTTAGTCTTAGGGCTGCTATATGAAAACCTGCTATGGAGCATCTCCCACAGATGAATATTCAGCTTTTGGTTGAAAGCTGCCAATGAGGGAGAACGCCTCTCATTACCACCTTACACATATATACCAGTAATTAGTTTGCTGTCAAACTGCTTTAACTGTTAAAGTGTCTCAGTGTTCAACCAGTATCATCTTCCTGTAATTTAAACCATTTCAATCTAGATATTCCTATTGAAACAGCAAAGAACAAGTCTCTTTCCTCCTTTGTGTAATAATCTTTCAAGCATCTAAAGAGTACTGTTGTGAGCCGCTCCGAGGCTTCAGGGAATGGGGCGGCATAGAAGCCTTCTAAATAAATCCATACATACTGTTAAGGAAGATCCCCTAAGTCTCTTCCATTCAATACATGCTTAATATTTTATACTTAATGCTTCAATATTTTAAATAGGATTTTTAAAAAGTACTCATTTCATTGCCCTCTTCTGAACCTGTTTTATCTACATTCTTAAAATATGTTGCTCAGAACCTGACATAGCACTCTGTGACATCTGACTAGTCTGGAATAAAAGGAAACTTACTTTAAATCATCTAGCATGGTTCTCTTACAGGGCATCCAAAAATCACCTTGCAATATATATATATATATATATATTGTGTGTGTGTGTGTGTGTGTGTGTGTGTGTGTGTGTGTGTGTGTGTGTATTTTGCTCACCTGCATCATATTGCTGATTAATGTTTATGTTCACTTGTGATTTGACAAGAGTCCCAGGATCCAGCTGCTAAGACAGGTATCCTCTGTCCTAAACTGGTGTATTTAATTTCCTATTCAATGCCTGTTTGCCTTTGAACTCAGATGCTTATCTGAACTCAGATGCTTACAGCAGGAGGCTGTACCTCCCACTCAGCAGTGCAGCTAAACAGCTGGTTTCTCACTGTCACACTTCAGGTAGAGAGGGAAAGGGACTGGAGAACCACTAGCTTATTTATTGTTTATTATATTTATATCTCTTTTTCTTTCAAGGAACTCAAGGCAGCTTATATAGTTCTCTCCCACCCCCATCTTATCCTTACAACTACAACCCTGTGAGGTAGGTTGGGCTGAGAGTTTGTGACTGGCCCAAAGCTACCCAGTTAGCTCTGTGGCTGAGTAGGAACTAGAACCCAGATCTCCTGTGCTCTTAACCACTGCACCACATGGACTTTCATGCATCCTTCTTTGCATTCCTGGTGAGCCCATTCTCCTCCTCTACCTGTCCTCCATAATGTCCTTTTTACCCCTTCTCCAAGGTCAAATTTACACTCTTGGAGAAGCAGTGAGCAGCTGTCTTCTGTACCAGCTGACTGGGGAAGGAGGATCTGAGTGCCAATATCCAGCTTAAAGTTGGAACACAGATGTTGTCTATGAGCTATAGGATTGCTCTCCCTATGCAGAATGTTGTGAGTTTCTCACATTTTCCATTTTATCAAAGTCATTTTGAATTTTATTCCTGCCTTCTGATGTGTCAGTTGTCTCTCCTGGTTTTGTGTTTGCTGTAAAATTAGTAAGGAATACCTCTTCCAATATGTGGTAAGAATTATATAGGTGCCAGTGCCCTACATAAATGAAAGTATTTTAAAAACTTGCAAAAATATATATTCTTTTTTGATAGGTTAGCATTTTGCTCCACCAATATCTGGACTCGTTTTTGACATTTTCTTTATAAAAAGAAATGGTCAGGGTGAGTAACTGGTCAGGTTTGGTTCTTGTTTCTTATAGATAGAGAGATAGATGGATGGATAGAAATTGAAAGATAATTTTTAAATAACAATCTGTCAGTGCTGCAGACATGGAAACAAGTTTCAGTTCATAGACCAGCACAGACCCTATTTACTTCCCCATTGCTCATTTTACATCTATGGTTC